ATAAGGCAAGAAAATGAATGTCTAAAATTAAACTAATGAAATATAGTTCGAATTATGCACTCATTATATATAATATTTATATGTGGAAAGCATTGTGCAACAATTGAAACACAATAATATTGCTACATTAATTTCTAGCACAATAATATTAACACAAACAAAAGTCATTATTATTGTGTAATAGAGTAATATTAATACGTTGACCGTTCAACAAAGGTAAACATAATAAAAATCCAAAAGAATTAATATTACTGTGGTTGACAGTAATATTACTGTAACAACAGTAATATTACCGTCAATCACAGTAATATTATTGTGTTTACAACAATATTTCAATAATAGGCAGTAATATTATTACGTTACTCCGTCAACAACTCAAACAAAACAACAAATCGAAAAAAAAATAATAATATTGATGTTGTTGACAATAATATTATTGTGTTTACAGTTATTTTACTGTCAACGGCAGTAATATAATTACGTTGACTTGTCAAAAAATCAAACAAAATGAAAAAAACCATAAAAATAATAATATTGTTGTTGACTCTAATTGTACTGTCAACGACATTACAATTACATAAATTTACTGTAAATCACAGTACAATTACATTAATGTACTGTCAACGACAGTATAATTACGTTAATTTACTGTCACTGACTGTATAATTACCGTTAATAGCAGTACAATTATGGTCAACGTTTAGAGGCGGGCGTAAAAAAAAATCACTAAAACAAGTCAACGTCGAAGACCGGCGGCGGAAAAAACAGAACAAAAAAGAGTTCGAAAAGTCAACGGTAGAAACCGGCGGGAAAAAAATAATTTCTGAAATAAAAAAAAAAAATCAAAATTGGATTTTTGTGGTCAAAATTGATTAAATTGGGGTTAAAATTTAGAATCGGGTGCAAATGGTTGGGGGTAATTTTGGCATATACATTAGTTTTTCCATTATTTATAGTACATATTAAAGGGAAGGGCTTATTGGCGAAAGATATATAACCACTGAACTTAAAATAATAAAGATGGTTGTTCAGAGACTTATGCACAAAAACCCCTATTGTATATGCTATTGCGTCCATATGTGAAATGTACGTAATATTGCATTGCATTGAGTATTTTTTTCACCCTAGCTTCCCAGTTTAATTACCATAAAATTTAAGGGCTCATTCAATTACCATTATTAGACCCTATTAACTAAATAATAAGGGTTCGTAACATATTCGGTTGGTAAGATTTGTATTTCATCAAACCTGCTACAAAATTTAAAGCTCGCAATTAAGTGCTACTATATCATCACATTAATTAAGAACATTCCTCCCCTCTAAGATTAATTTTGTAGGGGGTGACACAACCTGAAAATGACCATGTTATCCTTATAAGTGCATGTTAATTTGTTAAATACAAGTGTTTGATGGACAAATCACATATGATACATGAATTTAACAGATTTATACAAGATCTAATCTAAGGAACTGAACATCTTATTATCTAAATAAGTAATGAGTTAGTAGAAAAGTGATACAATCTCATCTAATCTAATTTAATCTGATATATGTAATCGCAAGAGCCCTAAGTATATAACATAACCCCACATTAGTAACTCAACAAATCACATATGAACACACCATTTTTTTCCGGCCGTTCAAAATTTAAAACTCGAAGGTTTTTAAAAAAAATGTTTAAAACTCGAAGTGCCGAACTGAACTCAAAAGAGTTATACGAATATAACTTTATTTATTATTTGTTCAAAAAAATTTGATGCTCCCTAATTGGGTAGAAACTGGCACTATATAATCCAAAATTAGGTATGTTCCTGAAAAATTGGGGCCCTAACTGAGTTTTAAAACTTACTAAAAGCGGACACCTGTTATATGATGTGTTCGTCAATTCGCTCTTACGATTGCGAGTACAAATGATCAAGAATTTTTTTGATTAGTAATTGAAATTTTTTGAGGTATACGACTAGAGTATTAATGAAGTAAGCATGGTGAACCAAAAATTTAAGGTGGTTGGAGGTAGAGCCCCTGAAGTTTTTTTTTAAATACTCACATAAATAATATTAAACAAGTAAATATATGTAATATTTGTTTAAATATAATAAAATAGAAATAGTATTTTCAAACTACTGAAATTCTTTGAAGTTAGAGGAGATGGATAAAAAATTGATAAAATGACTCAGTATCTAGCTAATAATAATTGATATGAGAGATTTCATGAAATGCAAGTATAAGTATAAGTATAAAAATTCAACAAGTATATAAGTCATATAACATAATTGTAACGAATGCAAGAATACGTATAAATTATCTAACAAATATTTAAACAGTCATATCCTATAGTTATGACTATTCGAAATTGAACACTATTAATAAATCTTAAATATAAATTAATACTATGACTAATATATAAGTCAAATATGAGAAATATATTTGGGAGCCCGTAAATATTTCGAAAAATTGGGGGCTCTAAAAGACTGCCTCTCTCGCCTGTAGTCAAAATCGACCATTTTCAAAAACAACTTAATACTCCAACATATACATGTTGTCTTTCTATATATTTCCCTTCTAGCTCAAACATTCTAAACCTAATACACAATTCAACATAGTACAGTTATTCAAATCTAACTTATATTGAACTTAAGTCGTATTCTGATATTGCAAATCATATTTTTCTGGAAATCATTGTTAACCATGTATGATTAGTATGATTGCTAGAAAAACATAACCTGCAAACTTATCAAATCCAAATCCACAGCTCATCCCAACAATCCCTACAATTTCATTCATCAATAAAGTGGTCGAATCATCAGCATGTACTTTTGTTTGAAAGTAGAAATTTCCAATCGATTTATGCGCCAAGATTCTAAGGAGCCATAGTTCGTTAATCGATTTTATCCGTATGCAAACAATTACTTAATTTGTTTGAGTCTCCAAAAATTTCAGGAGTTTCAAAGAATTCTAAGAAGTTTTGATATTTTAAAATATATATAATTATTTTATTAGAATTATTTTATAGTTTGCGAAAAATTTCCTTTATAAATGATGTCCCCTGTTAAACAGATTTTTTAAAAGGGAAAAAAAAATAGAAAAAAGAAATCCACATGCATATAAAACTAGTTTCAAAGTAATACGTAAATTCCCACGTTGGCAACATCTGATCATCCTACATACCTTTTCCCTTTCTAACTCTAGTAATCCTTGTACATCAAGGATTATTTTAATTAATATTACTATTTTGGCTGCTAAATTACTGTCTTCAATAGTAATTTAACTGTTTGAGACAGTAATTTACTAATTTTACTATATTAATTAGTTTTATCATTTTGGTCTGCAATTTTGTTGTCTCATGCAATAATATTACTGTTTGGGACAGTAATATTAGTAATATTACTGTCGGGAAAATAATATTCATAATATTACAGTCTGAGACAGTAATTTAGCAGTCAAGACATCAAATAATATTAATTAAATAATTTTTTTAAGAATTTTTTTTTTCAAAAAAACATCAAAAAAAAAGTCAATACCGGAGATCGGCAGACAACGGCGGTTGACTGGCCGGAAAAAAATTTCAGAAAAAAAATTAATAAAAAGTGAACGCCGGAATCTGTCTAGAAAAAACAAATTCATAAAAAAATTATTTTCTGAAAAACAAATTCAAAAAAATATTAAAATGAGGTTAATGTGATATATTTGTTTAAATCCCGGTTCAATATGTAATATTAGGGAAGTTAGAATGCAATGGATGTAATTGATAAAAAATATATTATGGAGGCTTTTTTAGACTAAGACACGTGGATGGATTTATTTAAAAGATTATTTTTTTTTGTGGACCAATGTGCATTTAAGTCTTTTGTCATGTCCCTCTTTATCATATTAACAGTTAAATAACTGCTGGAGACAGTAATTTAGCAACGAATACAATAATATTAATTAAAAATATTTTTTTTAAGAATAAAAAAGTCAATTAACGGTTAAATTACTATCTCCAACAGTTAAATAATTGCTGGAGACAGTAATTTAGCAACGAATACAGTAATATTAATTAAAATATTTTTGAAGAAAAAAAAATGTCAATTAACAGTTAAATTTCTGTATCCGAAAGTTAAATAACTGTCGGAGACAGTAATTTAGCAGCCAAGACAGTAATATTAATTAAAATATTTTTTTAAGTCAACGTCGGAAACCCGGCGGTCAACGGCAGTTGACCGGCCAGAAAAAGAATTCAGGAAAAAAAAGTTTTTCAAAAAAAAAAAAAAAAAAAAACAACGCCGGTCAACGGCGGCGGCCGGCGGTCTCCGGTGGTGGCGGGTCAAAATTGGGGTCAAAATTGAAATTAGGGTTAAAATTGGTTAATTGATGAAATTAGGCTAAATTGGGGTGTAAATCATGAAATTGGAGTTGAATTGCGTTTCAATGAATTGGGGGTAATTTTGGTATATAGAAAAAGATTTTCCTTATTTGCAAATAAGTTTGAATGAGCGGGATTTATTTGAAAGACAAAAAAGTTAGATGTCCCTCTTTTAATTAAGTGCCCTTGTCATGGGTCTATTTGCCATTGCCCCATAATTTATTAATGTATTTAAAAAAAATTGATTTTTCAAAAAATATATAATTATTTTATTAGAATTATTGTATAGTTTGGGAAAAATTGCCTCATAAGTAATACCCTATTAAACAGACTTTTCAAAAGGAAAAAAAAATAGAAAAAAGAAATCCACATGCATATTAATTAAATGAGTTCCAAAGTATACATCATACCAAAAATACGTAGATTCCCGTTGGCAAAATCTAATCATCCTCATTCCTACGTACCTTTTCTCGTTCTAACTCTAACTCTAGTATTCCTTGTACATCAAGGATTATTAATTAACCTAGTATATTATATATATATATATATATATATAAGTCCAAAACCTAAAATATACAACCACATTAATAATCTATATATCTTCTCATCCAGAGACAAGTATAGCAGTAAATTTTTTTCTCGCACGAGCAATACCATGGGTGATAATCAAGATTACCGCCAACAAGCGTTCTCCTGCTATCTTACCCGCATGGAATTCACCACTCCAAAAGAAACTGACGATCACAATAATCAATCGGAAATCAACTTGAACTTCACATGGAGAACTGATTTTTCCGAGTGGATGATTCCACATGCAGTTCAAGAATATCCACAATTGGTTAGACGATCCAATGAATCCACAACCAATATCTCCTTCGGAGTGAGCCGCATGCAGTTTCGGTGTCTCGATGAATTACGCAGAGTCATGGAACTCGAGCTGAGGGGCATTTTAGACGATTACGATTTGCGCAGAAACGTGGCTGATCATGTTCTCGTGATGACTCTGGCAAGGGTCGACAACGATATTTTCGCAGATGGCGGAGTTTTCAATTTTTACTTCGATGCCTTGGTAGATAACCAACATATTGTATTTGGGGAAATTAATGATGAGCAATTTAATTGTATGGTTCCCGCGGCGGATTCATCGATAATGTCGTCGTTGAAGAAGGTGGCCGTTGATTGTGATCAGAAGACTAGTTGCTCGATTTGTTTAGAAGATCTCTCGCCAGGCGGCGACAATGATTTTGAAGAAGCGTTAAGCATGCCGTGTTTGCATGTTTATCACGACTACTGCATCAAGAAGTGGCTGAGCACTAGTCATTATTGCCCACTCTGCCGCTTTGAGATGCCAACCACCAATTAGATACATGGATGTAAATTTGATATTGTTTTACTTTGAGGTTTTAAGGCTTCACAACTATTTTATAATTTTTTGTGTAGTAATTAAATGTTATATGCAAGTTCAATTAAAATTAGGTTTTTTGAGAATCAGGACTTTTAATTACCTGCACAAGAAAATATATATACCGGTTAATTAGGTATCTCTTTTTCTAGAGAGGTCTCAAGCTGATTTAAACATCAAGTACCTGACATCCAATCTAAGTATAAGATAATATATTTACGAAAAGTTCATTATAAGGTTTAGGACTTCATGAATTCATATGTTTTTGTTTTTTCGTGGAATGATAAAATTATTATCTTGTTCAATTTCTTGTATGTTTACCCATGTATAGAAAAAAATCATGATTAGAAAAATTTATTGAAAATTGAAATTAAACGCCACATTTTCCCTTTCGAGATTCATTGTGATATGTATGCAAATTAAATCTTTTTAATTTCAACTTTAGATGTTACTCCATATAGAATTTAGATGTTTAATTGAGAGATTGGATCATTCCAAGATTTACCATTTTTACGGAACTAGTTAGTACCACGTGCAATGCTCGTGATTCTTACTACTTTAGTCAATAATTTACCCTATTTAAGATTTAATTGATCAAAATTGCATATTATTAATTGGTTTATAAATAAATAAACTTAGGTATTGTTGGTGCCAAATTTCCGTGATTGAAGAAATTCGCCACACTTTGAAATTAAAGATGGCAAAGATTTGTTTTCCATGTTTATTTTGGAATTTATTAGAATCCTATTCTTTTAATACTTTTATTAAAACTTAGATTTATTTCCATGTATCTTACTCTAGTTAGGTATCTTTTATATTTTTCTAGAATAGAAGTAGAAATCGACTAGAATTCTTTTATCTAAGTAAATCGATTTCATTGGGTTCAAGTTTGGTCTTAGAGGCTATTTCCGTGGCTATATAAGCCTCCAAGACACTAATGAACTGTGCGCATTTTTTAGAAGAAAAATCACTTCATAGCATTGAAAAATTGCTTATACGTTCTGCGGAGCAAAATTGTGTCATTGTTGCATGTGCCAACATATACAGATTTGTTGTATCGGTCTCAAGGGAGATCCAACCAGGGCCGGTTCTGAGGGGAGGCGAAGTAGGCGGTCGCCTAGGGCCCCCGATTTTTTATGAAAATTTAGGGCCCCCAAATATTTTTATATACACTTTATATATCAATACTTATTTTTAAAATTTATTATATATAATATTTTGGAACATCTATTCTAAAATAAATTTAAAATTAATGATCAAGTAGATATTTTTACAATTTTCTTAATTTTGGGGCCCTAAATATTAAATTTATAATCTTTTAATTACTTATTTTTATTCCTAAAATTTGAATCAATATTCATTAGTTTATTCAAGTTTCCTTTTATAAAATATTTATCAAGTTTATTTGCTATAAAGATTATATGTCACGGTAGGAATTGAACGAGCAAATTATTCGGTTTTTAAATTTTTCCATATTTTTAGTTATTTTATATTCATACATTTCAAAAAAAAATCGGGGGCGCTGCCCCTGAACCCCCATAATCTTTTAGTCCATCACTTTTATGAAATTTTATTTATATTTTTTTAGTATATTCAATTTCGAACGCCCTTATAAAACAAATTATTTTTTCAAATAGGGGCCCCATTTTGAGTTATTCTTTAAATCTCGCCTAGGGCCCCCGAATTCTCAGGAACGGCCCTGGATCCAACATATACAGATTTGTTGTATAGATCTCAAGGGAGATCAACCGCGTTTCTGAAGGGAGTTTAAGGCACGCGATGTGGAGCTGTTATAGAAAGAGACACGACGTTTGAGTTGTGTACAAGAACGACATAAAGAATTAAAGAAGTTTTAATAAGTCCTATTAATGTACACTGTAAATCTGAACTAGTGAAATCGTGTTTGCAGGTTCACGTGGATGTAGGTTATATTTGTGTCTGAACCACATTAATCTCTCTCGTTCATTTATCTGCTTTCAGTAGTATATAACTATGTTAACCCAAGAATTATAGTTGTAACCGAATACTGTCTCGACAACTAAACTGTTACAACTTAGGGTAATTGAATATATATATATATATATATATATATATATATATATATATATATATATATATATATATATAATTTATATGACATAAGTTGCCAATTACTGCATAATATGAATGATAATATAAAGTATTGGAATCAAATTCAATAAAATTTTAAATTTTTACCCATTAATATATAATCTTTGTATGGGTTCTTGTCCACATTAGTGGTTAGAATGATCTTATTTTTTTAAAACTCTTACGTGTATAATACAAAATTTCAAGGTATAAACAAATAATTAAGTTTAAATTAAATTATACTTAATTAACATCATTAAACATCATTTAAATAATATATGTTAATATCTTTTAAAATCATCAGACATATGACGACCAAAAAAATATCATCATACATATGTCTCATAAAATAAAACAAAGGAAAAAAAAAGTAAAATATACAATTTATTTTATAAATTCATTCTCTAAAAACGCTATCGATGACTCTGGGAACTGTGACGCTTCCCGCAATGCCTACGACTCTGTGCACTACAAATAGCAAACTGAAAATTAGATTTTGTATTATTGAATTGCAAACAACAAAATACTTATGATTTCGTCAAATGCAAACATCAAACTGAAAAAAAAAATCCAGAATTTGCATTATTAAATTGCAAACAAAAAATTACCTATGAATTCGCCAAATGCAAATAGCAAACTGAAGAAAAAAGTTCAGCAAAACTTGCATTATTGAATTGCAAACAATAAACTATCTATGACTTCACCAAATGCAAACAGCAAACTGAAAAAAAAAAATTCATCATCATTAAAAACACCAACAAAATTATTTATGGAACACATTGCAAACAACAAAAACATTAAACAAAGTGTTTGTAAAATGTAACTTAAGACATACCTTGTAAATTGTAAACCAGAGGAATCGAATCTCCACACCAAACGCAATTCTTCAAACAACAAATGAAGTTAAACCAACCTTCAAACGTAAATTGCTAACAACAAACGATGGGAAGGTTCTACATACGTGAGACACAGTGCGAATTTTGGCTAGAATTTTGGATTTTTGAATTTTTTTAAGGAGAGGGGAGGGGATGCTTGTTGTCATCTTTAATTATTTCACCAAGAAACCATCTCATAATCTAAAAACATCCATGTTTTTTCCTTCTCTACAATATTTCTTCATAAAAAAAAAGAAAAAAAAAAGAATAGAGAAAAAAAGAAGAGAGAGAGAGAGAGAGAGAGAGAGAGATGAGGGATTAAATATAGGGTGAGAGAAACATGAGATTGAAGAGATGATATATGAGATTTATTTTCCTATTATTTGAGGGTGTTTATGTCTATATACTAATTATTTTATTATATTTATATTATTATTTTTGGTCAAAGGACCTAAGCCTATATCCATTTACGAACTAGGATATCTACCTGTATAAGTCCAAAATAAGGGGTGTCTAGCAAATTTCCCCTTTTTAATTAAGTGTCCTTGTCAGGCCTCTTTGTCATTAACCCTAAATATTACTAGTATTTCATAGAAACAAATCTATATGACTTAGATAATGCATAATAATAGAAAGAAATAAAAACAAAATATAACTACAGTTCATTGCTTATTTTATAATTTTTTTCACTATACTATAAATATTTTTTAATAAAAAAATTAATTATAAAAATCAAAATGAGCTCGAGCTCGGACTCGGCAAAATGGATTCGAGCTTGAGCTCGAGCCTGCCAAAACAGTGGAGCTCGGCTCGTTCACACCCCCACAAATAATTAGTGACCTATTTTATAGGGTTATGACGCAGAACGGAAGCACGGTAAAGAATTAATTTCTATGAGTTAATCCTATAGAACATAACAACATTCGGAATCCACCGAAAACTCTAGAATCCACCAGAAAAATAGAGAAAACTCTAAAGATTTTATTAAAATTTGAAATTCTTCTGAAAATAAAGTCCTAAGGCAGTTATTTATACTAAAAACTTGAAAACCCTAATTAAACTAAGAAAATACTAAAAATTACCAAAAAGGGCAAAAAATGAGTTAGATCCTGATTCTAGTAGATCTCGTAATTTTGGGAACAACCCAATTTTACGGAATCCTAATACGATTTTTCTATGATTTGATATTAGTTTTCTAAAACTTGCCTAAAATAGAAAAAAAAAACGAACTTTTAGGAGCCTAAACGACGTTGGATTGCTGAAATTTGACGTGTCATGAGTTTTGTTCCTTGCGCCGTTTCACTTGAGATAGAGTTCTTTTCGTACTCAAATACAATTTGAGTTCGTAGAAAACCCTTATTTTTCCATAATTTCTTTCGATATTTCCACCAATGCCCGTACATAACTCTTCTCCGAATTAAATAGTTATTTTGCCATTCGAATTCAATTTGACGTTCCTTATCAATCTCCTCTTCTTCAAAAGAGCTCGACCCTCGAGCTATGATCAAAATATAGCGGTGCATATTTCTTTGCAAACAACCTCAAGTGCTCCACCAATCTTCCCGACACAAAAATCTCGCTAATCTTCCTCCAAACGAGACATTAGAAAAATTGACTTCTTAATTGAAAATTCCAATGGCTCCACCAATTTCTCCAATACAAGAACTTCACAGCAAACACTATCTACAATTAGATCACATACCTCACTACAATCCATTTGTCCCTTCTCTTCTCGTGCACCTTCCTCTTCTTGAACAAACTTTACAGCTTCAAATTCTTTCTCAAATTTGTTTTTAACACACTCTTTAAACTCATCAACTCTCTCCCGTTGTCAAAGTTAAGGAGGTACAAGATACTTCGTTCGTTATTCAAGCACCTAATTTGGTGGAGGATCATGGCGTAGGAGTTAACGAAGTTGAAGACGATATTGTTGATGCAAAAGTTAAAATTAGCGTAGCTATTATTAACGATGACATT